TGTCACCAGAATAGGAATATATGGGAAATTGTCCAATGCGGACACTAGTTCTAGTGGCTCTGCTGACCACCAGGGATTTCCCTCTCTTTGAAGGGATTTCCTGTCACTTCCTGTTGTGATTGCTGGAGTGGAAGTGAAGGGAAATCTCCCCAATGGGACACAGATGGCAAAAAAAGCTGACAGTGGTTATAGCCCTCCCTTACTCTACCCAAAACTAAAAAAAAGTTTTGTATTCAGTTCTACTTTTTTGTGCTCACAAGCAAATTGAATGTTGCAGCTTAGATGCTGAAACCATTATAAAAGCAACCAGTGTTGTTGCATTGACTTAGTGGCCGGCCAGACAACTAGCATTTTCTGAACAAGGCTACCAATGATAAGCCTCTATATTTCTCTTGGTACAGGTTCTGTTTTGTGACTCCAAATGGAAAAAGGTGTCACAATTATTATGGTCTTGTAAGAGGCGCCAACTACTTCTAGAAAACCTTGTCAAAGCAATATATAGAAGAAGGGGTGAGTGACTGCACCAAAACTGAACTATCATTTTAGGGTGAGGATGGCCTTTAAATTAACCTATTACAAACCTGGTCAATTCAAAATGAGCATTTGATGAATAAATTAAACAGCAGCGCTTACTTTCAGTGTAAATCACGGGTCAGAACAATCAGTAGATCTGGAGATATAGGCAGCTAAAGTTATATGCATATCCGGGGGGGGTAGGGGGTGCTGCTTGCACCGGGCGACACCATCAGAGGGGGTGACACCAAAATGACTGTCAGTCATGGACCGAGAGCCCGATAGTGGCACGAGGGAGAGGCAAATGTGATCCCGCTGGGTCAATATCCCCTCCTCCCTCAAAACCAAGATGGCCTACTGGTAGTGAAGTACATCGCCGCGCATTCGTGATGATGTCCCACCATGGATGTCATAACGCATGCGCAGCGACCACACCGAGGGACATCAACCCTGGTGCCACCGCTGTGCATATCCCGACATTTCCTTTAAAACGTAAACTTGGCCCTGACTTCTGAACATCCCTATTTGTCAATAAGGTCACCTGTCACTTTAAAGGTCCAATAGGGGGTCTCAGGAGGCAGGAGGGAACAGGACCAAGCTTAACTTCTACAGGATCTGCACATAACATCTGCTGCCTGTCCTTCGGGATGTACTGATTTTACAGAAGGTAACTAGCTCATGTATTTTTTCATCATTTGCTCGTTTCAGTTCCCGGGTTTGTAGCAGCTTTGCTAAGGTTAGAGCATTAATTTCTAAATGTTAGTTAGAAAAATTGATCCCCCCCCAAAAAAAACTACATAAGAGCAAGGTACTACACATTGTACTTAGTGTGTTACAAAATAAGGTTACATTTGAAACTCCTCAGTTCACAGATAAATAACCGAATGGGCTAAATGTATAGCATATACACTACGTGCTTTAAATTACCAGCAGGACCCTGATACTGTAACCCATCCACTTGGATTTTGGTTTATTGCAGGTAGATAACTGAACAATGATTTCTGATTGGTTGCTACAGGTTCCTGTACTTTGTACACCATCACTGCTGTTTGCACTGCTTTATTAAAGACCAACTCTGAGTTCTGCCCCCCCTTCCCCCTCTCCTGGAGGCCCCAACTGTATTTTACATTTACAGTTTTTCTGATGTCTTCTGACCAGCCAAGTGGCACACAGGGTTCTCCTTCTCTGGGGATAGGCACTCCTCAGGGAAGCAGAGAACGGCGCTGGCTTCAGCTCTGTTCTATGCATCATTGTATGGGAGCACAGGACACTATGGTTCCCTCCCCTTAGGGGGCTGGTCTATGACGCCCTGCGCTTACTGGATGTCATCAAGCTTTCCGGGTGTCATTTAACCAAGAAGACCGAGGACATCTAGTGGTGAAAAGCAATTAGTGTGAGATAAAGTTCTGGAGAGGAAGTTGTTGCCCACAGCTGGGATTTAAAGATCGTCATTGTTGTCAAAGGACAAACTTAAAGTATAAATGACATGCAAAAGATAACGGCTAAGAATACTAGTTTCCTGGCTTTGTCTGGCCGCTATAGGTCTAAGTCACAGACATAGCGCAAGCATGTTGCAAATAACAATCAGTTTTAAATCAGAATTCCTCATCTCAATATTTGTTCCAGGTCAGAAATGCAGAAACCATGACAACCAGACAACTAGCAGTTCCAGAAGGAGAGGTCAGAAATAGCATCATATTTCTCTCCTAGGCGTGGGATGACAATTGTTCTAAAACCATATGCAAAGGCCGTGATTGTAAGGCTTCCTGTCAGTTTGCCCAACCTTTCTTTTCCTACTTCATGCACATCATTAATTTCCACATACATATCAGAATATATATATATATGTCCTAAATGTTAATTCTTCTATGGTGTTCATAGGCCAAAATCATCCACAACAGTCATTCATCATACATGTAAATGTGAATTGAGTATACACTGCCTATACCGAAAGATAAAGATATGAAGTCTCATGCCTAAGAAAGTGTAAACAACAGTAGGACAAGGGTCACTTGGGGTGGAAAGTATGGGTCAGGATGGTTAATGGGGAATACATGAGACTGGAATAGTGAGGTCTGAGTCGCATGGTGTGGTCTGATTCAGAATATTTTAGGTCAAATATTCCCCTTAAAGCTCGTAGTCCAGCCTTTCCCAACCTTTTTAACAAGGATGAACGTGTGAATTAGATTCTTTGTCTCAGGGATCCCTTACTAATATTTACTCTATCTACAGCTCACAGTACATCAAAGGACAAAATGCTTCTTATAGAAGCATTCTTCTACAAATAGAATGCTATTTGTGGTCAATGGGAAGAATTCTCTTCTTGAAGAAAGCTAAAAAGATCAGTGATTCCTTATCTGAATAAGAAGTTGCACATTGCTCAAGGAATTCCTCTGGAGGAACCCTAAGGTTCCATGGAACCCTGGTTGAGAAAGGCTGCTGTAGGCATTTCAGAACAAAACACATTTTACACTTGATTGATGGTTGACTAACAAAAAAAAACAACATCCCCTCAAGTTAATTTTTCAAGAAATAGGAATCGCTGGTGGTAGCAGTCCAGGGGTTGAGAGTCCGTCTACTCAAAACTAAAGTGTTGAGTCACCCTTTGACTCTTTATATCTCTCATGGACCTTCAGCTTAGCATCCCAACATGGTCTCCAGGTGCCTACTTCTAATGTACAGTACAATAAAGGAAAAATCCAACTAGAACCCATTTTAATGGCACGTTGGCAGTACAGTACAGGGATTTGGCTTGAGTGTCAAATAAAGACGCCAATGGGCCATTCAATTATCTAGTGTCTACTTACTACTGAAAGTCTATCTAAAGCCAAAACTTTTTTTTTCCATTTTGGATAGAGTAAGGGCCCATTCACACCGCATCCAGATTACCTCCAGACCAGACTGTTTCCGGACCCAAAATGCATCCCAATGTATCCCTATGCTATTTCTGGCCTCTGTTCCTACCAGTGCAGTCCATTCCAGGCCAGACCAGAAAAATACTGCTTGTCCTATTTTGTCTGGTCTGGAACGCACCTGTAAGACCTTTTTAAGCTTAAAAAAAATTCCAATGCACTATGTTCCAGATCTGGTCCGGAAAATGGTGTGAACCCAGCCTGAAGAATGATTAAAAACCCATGTTTTGTTTTTGCAGTCTGTGTCCAATTAGGGAGATTTCCCCTCACCTCCTACCCTGTAGATACAACAGGAAGTGAGAGGAGATCTCTCCAAAGTGTGGACAATTCCCTCTTGGAAAGTTGTAAGAATAATATCCGCATTGGAGGATTTTCTCTCTAACAACTGAAAGTTTTGCATTTTTCTTCACTTTCGGTCCCAGTGAGTTGTCACCAGGATGATTCTCCCTATCGGTGACACAGACAAAAATAAAAACCTAACAGAGGATCTAATCATCTGAAACTTTAACAAAACATTTTGGCTTTAGATACACTATAAATATCGATTTTGGAAGGACAGACCCTTAACCCAGCTGCATTTTTGTGGTTGAGGCATTTAATGATTATTATAACTCCCATTACCACCTATCAAGGGTAAAGCATCGGCTGGATTATTAGTTTTAGTTGTAATATGATTGCCGGTATTACAATGTAATGACGGTTAAATGAAAAAATTTCTTACACAAAGAATTACCTTAGATTTATACAGCAAGAAAATAACTGGAATTGAAAATGGTTCTTGGAGCCAATGGAGCTGAATGATACCAGTTGGTGTGTATTGTTTGTAGCAACTAACCAGGGAACAATGCTATTTTTAAAGTCCAACTCCCCCCCGAAGTGATATTTCAGTGATGCATGGTTGACATAACCAAACTGGATGACAGTTGCTTTGTTAGGGAATTTTGTAACACAAATAATTGGCATGTTTTTTTCCCTTTTTACACACTGTTTTCCATCTCAGTATTGCCGATCTCCTCCAGCTTTTTTTCAGCCACTCCCTGTTTATCTGCTCAGTGTTGGCCGGGGTAGTGATGGTGGTAGACCGTGGCTATGCAATGTGTCAGCACAGTAGCTTGTAGTCTCCAGCAGGGGGAGCATGTGACAGGGTGGCAACACAGGAGAATAGTTGCCACCCTGTAACAGGAAGTTTCTGATGAAGGACATCCTATGGCAGGATCACAAGGTATTATTTTAATGAAAGCTACAGATGAAAATGACTATTGGAATTATATCAGCATGTTTACGTCTACTGGGTCTATTGGGTTTATGTCTACTTTAATAAGTTGATAAAAGTTTCCAGTAGAAATACAATGTATGATCACCAGCTCCATCTAACTGACATGGCTATCTTCTCCAAAGGATGGTGTCACATTCCTTAATGGATTCTCCATTGTATTGAAATGACAAATGCTGCAACGGGGTTCATTATAGTCTTTTTAGCAAACTACTACCAGTAAATAATGCCTTTTTTGGGGGGAGGAAAGGAATCCAGCAGGGGAAGCCTTCCCATTAATGAAATATCAGCTTGGGGCAGAGTTGGCTTTTAACAAGCATCTGATTGGTTGCCATGAACAACATCACCATTTTCCTGTGTACCAGGTTCATACACCCGTCCTTGAGAAGTCCGTAGCTGGCCAGTTGGACATCATCTGGGCTGTTCAGTCCATGAAAGCTTCTGTTCCTTATCGTTATATCCTGTAGGCTAATCAGGTCCATCACAATGCTCCTCAAATATAAGGTCTCTTTCTTGATATCGGTCACTCCAGAATTGTTCCCAGAGTCTTAGTGACCGGTAACGTATCACTTGATGGCTTCTGACATTAACTTGTCTCTTCCTTCTTCTTTATAGGGATTTTTGTGGTTCTAGATAAAACAAGGATTACAAAACACAATTCTTGATTATGTCTCACAGGGTTTCCATGTAGTCATGTTTTATGACATCACCTAATCCCTGTCCCTCTGTATACATTCAGTTGATAGCATCCTAACAATCAGAGATACTGTGGAGCCTACAGCATCATAGCAACCAAGGATGACACATTGGAGAGATTTTACTTTACTTCCGGTTTTAGAAAGAACAAAAAGTTAGAGAACATCTCCCAAGGTGATGGGAAGTGCCCTCTTGGATAGTTGTCAGAGGAAAATTTCTGCCCATTGGAAGATTTCCCCTGCATCTCTCTAAAATTTTGGATTTCCCCTTACTTTTAGTCTCAATGACAATGGTTAATATAAATAGAGGGGTTATTAACCCCAACGGAGACACAGACAGCAGTTAAAACGTGAGCTAGGGCCTAACACTTCCCCACTTTATCCAAAACTAAAACTTTTCCCTTTACATACACTTTGAATAGAAAAAATGGGTGGTGGTGGTGACGGGCGGCCTGTAAGATCGCTCAGCATACGTACACATTATGGCACACTTACCTCCAGTGGTACTATCCTCCAACACTGTGGGGTCAGACATCCCCACATCCACATGCAATAACATGGTACCATGCTATTTCCTCTTCTTCTGGGTCTGTCATCTTCTTGCTTTGCCCCTTGGGCAGGCACTAACGAAGGCACTTCCACACATGCATGGTGGAGTTACATTATCTTAGCCCAGCTCCATTCCTGGCATCTATACAATGCCAGGACTGTGCACTGCTGTTATTGGTTGCTGTATTTCCTTTTCCTCCATTTTGCACTCATTAGCCAGAGCATAATAAACTGGTGCTTATTAATTTATAACATTGTATCAACTTTATATAATTTAATTGCTTGTTTAAAATTTCTGTTTTTAAATATAATTACTATTATTACATATTATTTGTGTTCAGCTTACCTATGGACATTTTCCCTTTAAATGATACTTGAACTGATAGACATATGTAGGCGGCCAACCTCCCCATCCTAAAACTAAGGTTGCCCGGCTGTCAAGCTGATCTAATGGCTTCATACTATCTGGGTCTCTGATCCAAAGGACGTATGCAGGTCTAGAGTGCTGACGTTACTTGCTGCATGCTTGTTGTAGGTCAGTGATAAAATACTGAAGCCAGAGACAGCCACGTAACTAGCATTTTTAGAAGGAAGTCATCAATGGTGGCCCCCATATTTCTACCAGTTTTGAGGAACACCAGGAATGGAAAAAGTTAACCCTTGCAGGTGGGTCACTGCTCATCTTGGTTCAGGGGCTCAAATAAAGTCCCAGCAGCCCCTTCTGCCCCCCGGGCTCCAGCGGTCTAAGACCCACTGACATGATCATGTCTAATGCACTCCATTCAGTGGGTAGCCCCACTGCAAGGGTTAACCTTTTAACATTCCTGAAGTTATTTTTTAAAGCTGAACTTTAGCCTTCCATTTAGCTTTGCAAAGTTGTACTGGAATTACCTATTCTGATTTCACTGCACACTGTGAGCTTCTCACAATGTGCATTAGAAGCTGAAGCAAGTCAGATAGAGCCTGCCTTTTCCTTACAGGGTCTTGCAGCACACTCATAGCTTTGACTACAACCGCACACACATACCCTGCCTGTGAACACACACAGTCATGCCTACAACTGTCTTGCAATGCCTTATGGGACTTGTAGATCCACAACAACTGGAGGGCCGGAGTTGCCCACCCCTGGTTTAGGAGGATGGGAAATGGCTTTGGGGATGATGGGACATAAAGCAGGTAATCATGTAAGTGCACTCATCTATGGGCAATGAAAATGATTTACAGATGATTGCCTTATTAGTGGTTAATGATTTATTAACATGAAACAAAAGACTTTAATGTTACTTTAAACCTCAGCATTCTGGAAGTGAATGAGTTACAATTGTCGCCTGGAGGAAGTCCTCTGGTGAGGTTGAATGAGGAATCACACAACACCTGAGCTACAGATCTGACACAATCTGATCATCTCCAACCAACACCACTGCAGAGGTGAGTGTGATTTAAATGTCTATTGCCGGGTTGTTTCCAGCTTTGTTTTTATGCACTTCTATCATCCTGTAGAGTATTATTATTATTGGAACATGTTTGGGGAGAAATAGAAATATCGCTGCACCTGTAATATATTTTATATTTATTATATAGTTTTATATTTGTTTATGTCCCCAACTGTTTGTCCTGATTATGAATACTGAACTCAGACTGCCAGCATAGACAGCTATCGTTCATTCTCTCTTGCTGGACATGTTGCAATGTTAAAATTTGTAAATTTCTCAACAGATATTGAAGGATTCTGATACATATTGGTAAATGTTACCAGCAGTTCCCCTCGCACAATGTCCAAAGGTGAACAGGAAGTTAGCAGTCTTAGGCCTAATTCACACTGGGTAGAGTGGGACCGTACAGATCTGTGCGGCGTGCACGGCCGTAGCGGGCAGTTCCCAGGAAGGACAGATCCATCCTGTCTGCATCCGAGTACGGACATCCGCACGGATGTGCAGCTCCGGTGAGCGCACGTCAGCGTACGGCCGTGTCCTACCATAGGGAAGAACAGGCTGCTGTGTACAATCGCACTCAGCACCTGTCCCTCCCGGGAACGGCTCGATATGGCCGTGCACGCCGCACAGATCTGTACGGCCCCACTCTTCACTGTGTGAATAAGGCCTAAGGCTCCAGTCACATATAGCGTTTGGGTTTCCCACACGGTTTTTCATGCGGGACGAAAACGCTAACATTTTAAATCCGCATGGATGCCGTTCGTTTGCGGCTATTAAGAATCTGCCAGATTATCGCACTTGTACTATTTTTGTGGGCTGCAATAGTCTGAACAATGCATATTAAAGTGCATCGTTTTCTCTGTTTAGAGCGGCGGCTCCCCATGTATCCGAATATGTGCAGACAGCCGCTCCAGTGTGAATGGAGCCTAAAGGTGACCATACACTGCGATTTTCATTCGGAAATTGTACACGAACAGTCTTTCTAACGAGAATCGAACAGTTGATGGTACACCACTGATTTCTCATTTTTGATATTGTGATTGATATTTTTCGATCAGTCAGGTAGGAAAATGTTTCTCTGACCGAACGAAAATCGCTAAATCAGTGGTGCTTTTGTTCATCAGAAATCGCAGTAAGAACACAGCACATGTGCAAAGAGAAATTATTTCCGTCGTTCGTCAATGTTTTTTTGGTTAATATGGCTAACGAAGGGTTTCCGAAATCGACATTTGACTATGCTAGATGGGGTATTCGAGCTATAATCAAATGAGGGTTCATGGCAGATAGGAAAATTTCCAACTGAAAATCTAGTGTATGGCCACCTTAACAATGGTAACCTCTGCCTCATATGGTTAAAGGATAACTAAACTCAAAGAAATCTGTCATATATTGCAGTCCTTGGATGTGGTGGCTGCTTTAGTGTTCATTTACAGCTAATTATATTTTCAGCAAGCACAGGAATTACCTGTTGGTCCTGCCTGCTAATCCCATTCACCTTCAATAGAGATGAACCAAGGCAGACATGACTGAAGTCCAGCCAAGCTGTGATATATTACATTTTTGGGGGTGTTTGGATACTTTTCAGGTATGGTCATCCATTATCAGACCACAGTCCCAATGTTTTCATTAGTCACACCTTTTGTGTGTTGCATTAACGCAGACCGTGCACTTAGAATTTCAACATGTCTTTAGCGAGCCTCAACTGAACAATTAAACACACCCGCATTATTTTTGAGCAATATATCACACCCTAATGCACACAGAGCATTCATCTCCATGCGTTTTGGGCGGCTGAAGTACAGGTGTGTTTGTTAAAGGAGAACTATGGGGTTAATAAAAAATTAATTAATAAATAAAAATTAATTTTAAAAAATGAAAAAGTTTCTAAAAAAATAAAATATAAAAATTTGAAAAATTAAAATAAAAACGTGTGTGTGTGTGGGGGGGAGGTGCAGGGTACAGTTCCAGTGGTTGTTTATATAATGGGGGGTGGGCGAAAAAAATGTCTGCCCCGGGCGCCCAGAACTCTGGTTACGCCACTGGAGAGCCGTGACAGGATCGAGAGATGAGCGAGCGCCGGTATATGTTCGCTCACCTCCCGATCTACTGAGCCGACCTGTGACAGTCTCATTGTCACAGGTTGGCTAGAACTATGAGGTGAGTGAAAAGCACTCACCTCATAGTTCTCCTTTAATACTGTATATGCACATTGGGAGGCATTCAGAAGGAATGTCAATGCACATAGTAGTCTGTGCATGCAGTGTAAAGACTATAACTGGGCTTCTATGTACAGAGCTGTTTAAGGAGGGGATGTATGGGGGCTTGTTATGAACCCTAACCTAATCAGTTGTGGCAGGGCCATTCGTGAAGTGTAGCTGCGGGGAAGAGAATGTCCTGGCCACAACTGATTGGGTCAGTGACAGTTTTGCACAGGCTTGGTGAACTGGGTTTGCACTAAGCTCTCTGCACATTATCAGTTTTAAGACATTAGTTGCCCCCCACTCTCTTATAAATAAAAACTGCCTTAAAAAACATGGAGATTGTCACTGTTGACGTGTCATTGTGAAAAGTCTAGTTTCCTATGTCATCTTATTCCCCCGTAAATTTAATTGATACATTTTGGGGTGTAGTAGCCCTTTAAACAGGGGTTTTCTATGTCATTTTATTCCCTTTTGATTGCCCATTAAAATGTAATTTATTCATTTAAACAGGGGCCCCATGTGTAGGCAGATTGAGGGCCCATTTTTATCTGTGAATGACATCACTTTATTACACTTTTATGTTTCTAATACACTGGGTAGATTTGTTATTTATCTCCTTCATACACTTTTCTTTTTTGTGTTTTAGCGTGTAACCATTTTGTTTCCAAGGTGTGTGTATAGCCAAACTTTTCTTTTTATCTTTGGAAGGGGTTGTAACCTTTCCTACCCCTATGAGGTGAGGTGAGAGGAAATCAAGGTGAAGGGGAATTTCCCACTTGGACAGGTGCCCCCATTGGACGATTTGCTCTCATCTCTTCTTCTGGTGACAAATGTAAAATTGTAGATTTCCCATTACTTTCTGACTCTGTGACAGTGGTCACCTGGACAAACAGAGGGGGGTAAATCTACCTAATGAAGACACAGACAGCAATAAAAACATGCCAGAGGATCAATCACATCTGTGCTTTATTTAAAAAAGGGGGGGAAAAAAAGCTTTGGGCTACACATACACTGTAATAGGCTGTAACTTTCGTATTGTGATATCAGTATTCTTTTTGACTGTTATTATTTACAAGGCACTCTGGATGCATCCAGGGAGAGTGATTGATTCCTAACCGCCTGTAATCATATCACATGCGATTATGGGGTGGTGGTGTGTCGGCATTTAAATGCAGCGGCTGTCACCTGATCATTAACTTGAACGGGTGACAGCTGCCGCTTGTAAACAGCAGATTAGGGATTTCTGCTGCAGGAAGTTGCAAGTTCCTGATGCCAGTGGCGTCACTGCGGGGTGTCACCCAGTAACCGCTCCGGGTGACACCCGGCCTCGGGACGCCCCTGCCCGATGCAGGAATCCCTAATCGCACCTAAAATATAGGTGTTAATGGAGCATAAGTGGAAATTAACTCAAAAAGTGAAGCTTTGCTATGTTATAGGGAGCATCCAGAAATGTTAAGCGTGCCTGAGCAGTACTCTGAAAGATTTACCTTTTTGTCTGCAATTCCTCCTGAAAAACAGCACTTCCTGGTATGTGTGTGTGCCTGTAGCCTTCCAGCTGTATATCTGCAGTGTGAGATCTCAGGCACTGCTTACTATGATTGCTAGTTAGGAGATCTGGTGATGTCGCTACTGTGCTGCTCACTGTCCTCCTTGCTGGAGGCTCCGACAAGAGGAAGCAAAGCCCCGCCTCTACCAAGATGGCTGCCTCCATTATAGAAACACAGTGCGGGTCAAGACATGGCAAGGGGGAAAGATTGGATGCCAGGAGACTACAGGCAATACTGATGACTATTGATGTGTGTGGGTTTGGTACGCACACGCCTGCGCAAAACTGGTAGTGACCCCCCAATCAGTTGTAGCTGGGGCATTCCTTGTCCCTTTGTTATGTGTAGCTGTGGGAAGGAGAATGCCCTAGCTAGCCGAATCTGTACTAAAGACACACAGTACAAAGAAGAATTTTAGTACTATAGAGTGAATCATGCGTCTGATATTATTTGGATATTTGCAGATATGATTTAATGATGCAAGAGATGAGAAGCATTTACATTTGTTTCCCCCTTTGTATGCCAGTAAGATCACAGTCTGAACTGACCCCCCCCCAATGATATTTTCTGCAGCACCACCTGTTAATGAGGCCTATAGAAATGAATGATGTCACATAAAGCCGTACATATGGTGCACCCACATTAGTAGCAAAGTGTTTTTTCTGCTTTGATTTGTTATTATCTTGGTATTTATTTACAAAATAATAGAAAAGTAAGAGAAGTAAACATTGTATTAGGAAATAATACGTTTCAGAGTTAGATGAGGACACCTGGGGATGTTGCTGGTTAGGAGGGTTGGGATGGGCAGGGAGTTAGACGTACTCTCTGGTAGTAGCCGATGGCTGTGATTGTCGGTAGTATGGCTGCCCTCTGGAATCCACGCTGGGCCATGAACAGCACAGGAAGGATCCGCCAAGCATGGTGAGGCTGGAAGCGGCCCAGCCCACGAATAACGCCGATCCAAACTCGTACCTAGAACACAGCAAACAGCCAAATGGAAATGAGAAAAATCAGCACACAAATAGGACCATTTACAAAGCCGGGGGCTGCCAACCTCAGCTGTTGTGGAACTACAAGTCCCATGAGTCATTGCAAGACTCTGACAGCCACAGGCATGACTCCCAGAGGCAGAAAAATAATGGGATTTGTAGCTTGAGCACAGATGGGGGTGCTGAGGTTGCCTACTCCTGTACTAAGCCATCTTTTGCACTGTTTTTTTTTTCCCGTTGTATAAAAGCGATAATGCAATAAAAACATGTTGTAAAATGAAAAAACTAAGCTGCACTCAAGGCAAAACTGCTAAATGTTACAAATGGGGGGAAAAAAATATACGGGAGCAGCTTTACCTGCCAAAAGGATTTCTGTCCGTCCAGTCCCGAGCTTTGCACAGCTCTGCCATACAGCACAGCTGTGTCTAGCAGGACACATGGTTTTTCTCTGCGGCATTTAAGTAACACTTACAGATCTCCTCCCCACCTGTAACTGGACAGTGAAAGGTGAAGCAGCAGATTGATGAGCTCATCTGTCATTCGGCTCTCTTCTCCTATTAGCATGCTCCTTGCAATGCAACACACCTGACTGGCTCCTTGTACTGCTTCTCCTTCTCCCAGTGTGCCTAGCTAGGGGTATAAAGGGGGGGGGGGGGGG